ATATATATATATATATATATATGTATATATATATATATATATACATATACATATATATATATATATATATGTATGTATATGTATATATATATATATATATATACATATATATATATATATATATATATATATATATATATCACAGTACTTTCTGCGTGTCGTATCAAAGTTCCTCGTGCACCACTATCTAAATACGCACACAAAATCTTAATTTTCTTAGCTTTTCCAAGCGATCAAGCTAAAGAAGGAAACCGGATTCAAGAAGGCTATCAAAACAGTCGATGGCGTTGAACAGTTCGGCGGAACCACAAAGGCGTCCGCTTCCGGAACCACGCACTCAGCCACTGAAGACGAAAAGGTATGTCACTTCCTGTATGAATAAAAAAGTTAGGATAAAGGTATTCGCTAGTCACAATTCGCTATGCAAAATTAGTACTATCGGGTTCCTTTGGTGTTGCGACACAATTCCGGAAATCATTTGGAGTTACTATTCAATTCTAGTACGCTCTGCGGAGGACTTGCGAACGAATTGTCCCCAGCTCATGACCTGGCTGTCAATTGCATCGCTGCCATGACTCTACTTGGGCTCGACTATCTCGTTTCTAACACTTTTCTGTCAAATATTCGTTTTTCACTGGTTGGCGGCCACATCCACAGGTTGCGTTCGTTGACTGGATCAACTACAGTCTAGGTGAGGATGAGGACCTCAAGAAGAGCGGTGTTGTTCCCGTGAGTCAGGATGGCGATAGTCTCTACACCGCATGCCACGATGGTGTCTTAATGAGGTCAGTGCTCGCATTCGCTTACTATGAGGGTCTAGTCTGTCGATCCAATTACTATTTGTGAAAGATTTGATTGTTGTCAAGCCAATGGGTTATTCTCTACGTTGCCCAGTCGTCTATATAGTACTGTGACGCTGAACATCACAATATGACACACACACGAGTATTGATTTAGCGAACTAGTCGAGGATATCGCTTGCCCCGTTCTGAGCAATAAACTCTCTCTCCGACGCCTAAGGGTATCAGAAACGGTGCATGTATATATACAACGCTGGTGTGTATTAAAACTCCTACCTCCCCCCCCCTCGCCCCCCTCTTCCAGCAAGCTGATTAACACAGCCGTACCCAACACAATTGACGAGCGCGCGCTGAACATGGGCACAAACATATCTATCTACAAAATCCACGAGAATCAAACACTGTCCATCAACTCCTCCAAGGCCATTGGTTGCAATGTGGTGAATGTGGGAGCTCAAGATCTAATTGACGGAGTTCCGCATCTGTGTCTGGGTATCATCTGGCAAATTATCCGCATTGGTCTTCTTACGAAGGTACCTGTTTTGATTTCAAAAAATCGTTATACACTGAATATCTGTTTTACACTAACAGCAGGTGCGTTTACATATTCCATCGAGACAACGGATGACGAACTTTAGATACCAGACCACACTAGCATCGTTTACTTCTAGTGTCTGGCTGGGCTGGAATGTCAGAATAGTCCAGTCTTGACTTTGCTTTCTGCACTCTGCAAGCTGTGTATTTATACGCTGAGCGAGGCCTGTCAGTCTCCTTTGCAGATTTGACTTTTTTCATGAGCCGCACACCTCCATTGCTATCTATCCATCGTGGCAAAATTCGAACACACATACCCCACGCGCGGCTCAAGCCCAAACTCAAATGCCTTTGCAACCGTCCTTATCGACTCCATGCATACTACGCGCACTCACGCCAATCCAACACATCCACATGCGCTGTATAGGTCAACCTCAACATGTGCCCGGGCCTAGTACGTCTAGTAGAGGGGGACGAGACACTGCAGGATCTCATGGCGCTGCCTGCTGAGCAGATTCTTCTGCGCTGGTTCAACTTCCAGCTGAAGGAAGCGGGCTCGGATAAGCAGGTCAAGAACTTCAGCGCCGACATTAAGGATAGTGAAGGCTACACGGTGCTGCTCAAGCAGATTGCGCCCAAAGAGTTCGGGGTGGACCTTACGCCATTGCAGGTATGTATGTGTAGTTGATTTAAAATCTCATGTATGGAATAAGAGATACTAACACGCTATGGCTGAAAAGCACAGTCTGAGCGATTTTCTATCCTTTTCCTCGCGTGCATCTAGCCAAGGCGGTTGCATTGCCTTGGTTTCTTGGGCGTGCTGCAAACTGGTAAAATGGCCTCGTCAATGCCGTTGGTCACGGCTTGGACACACATGAGTTGCTTAATAGCCGTTCAATACTAGCTACTGCCCTATTCATGTTTCACTGCGGTCCTCTACGTTCTGCCACGTTCTACTGTAAACACTTTCTCTCCCTATCGTACCTGTCGTTATACTCACATGGCGGTCGTATGTGTTTGTTTTCTCACACAGGAGAGCAACTTGGAGAAGCGTGCCGAGTCTATGTTGGTGAATGCGACCAAAATTGACTGTCGACGCTTCGTAAAGCCCAAGGATGTGACCAACGGAAATGCTAAGCTGAATCTTGCCTTTGTCGCTAATTTGTTCAACTTGGTATGTGTGTGTAGGTCACGTCGGTTCGTGTTTGTATAAGTTAAAGTTATGTCGCATACGTATATGTTCACTAAGGTACGAGTGTATGAGTGATTGTCAATCAATAAAAAAATCTAAGGATAAAATGTTATCTTCACGCAATGTTTGCGGCAATATGTGGGAGTTCATACGCCGATTTTAATATGTTGAATGTGAGGTTCTGTCTATATCTCAGTGAATGGCCGGCACTATACTGTTTTTATCCGTAGCACACCATCTCACACGAAGCATGACCGCGACACTGGCACGAACCCACGTCCGAAGTGATTGATATACTCTGATCTTAACAAGGGTATGTGACACGAGTGCGATCAACACTGGCGGAATTGGAATCGCATTGCACGACGTTCACCACCATCCCGCTTGGCATTGTCACGCACCCGGTTATACAGTACCCTCACCTGGAGATTGAGGAGGAAGAGATTGTGGAGATTGAGGAGATTAACGAGACGCGCGAGGAAAAGACCTTCAGGAACTGGATGAACAGTTTGGGTGTGCAGTATGTAGGTAGCATCTACCAAGACCTCCGTGATGGCCAAGTGCTGCTGGAGTTGTTTGATAAGGTGTACCCTGGCTTGGTCGACTGGAAGATTGTCAACAAGGCTCCGTTTACAAAGATGGGTGGCATCATGAAGAAGATCGAGAACGACAACTACGCTGTCAAGCTTGGCCAGGAGAAAAAGTTTTCCCTTATTGGAATTGACGGTATGTGCCCCTTTTATATGCATCTGCGATTTGGTTCCCACTAATGATATGGTGTGTGAGAGTGTCCACATATTTGGATGTTTGGAAGAGTACATTCAGACCACATATCTGAGAGGTTGGCTGAGTTCCTTCAGAGGGTCATAAGGATGTCTGGAAGAGTACCTTGAGTACCACGAAGGCTACTGAATTATTACAGACCTCGAGGTCACCTTCCATCGTATCTATTATGTCGCCAATTGTTGAATTGGCGTGTCGACAGTCTCAGATATGCACTTCATTAGCCTACCATACGAGTGACTTAATGACACGGCACTGAGCACCATGCTATGAATTTAACAGTTATGCATATTGTAGTCGCTGTCGTTTATCTCATTTATGCAACTTCCAATTGTTTACGAATTTCAGGCAAGGATATCTATGATGGACACCAGATGTTCACGCTTGCAATTGTTTGGCAGTTGATGCGGGCGTACACTTTGGAGATGTTAAAGAACATCGCCAAGACTGACCAGCCGATGGTCGACAAAGACATTATCGCCTGGACCAACAGTAAACTGGCAGAGTATGAGAAGTCCTCCAGCATTAAGAACTTCAAAAGTACGGTCACCTTTTATCCGAATGTTTTGAATATTATGATTCAATACTTTCGACTATGGACTCGACCTTCTTGTTATGCACTTCCAGTATACTCCGAGGACTGCTCGTTTACTATCCCAGTATTCATTATATATGGCTCCATTGTCCGTTATCCACTTATGTCTACTTATGTAAGATTGTCACTTATTTAGGACTCCATTGTGTCCAGTTTACACTTATGTCTACTTATGTAGGACTCAATTGTCACTTATTTAGGACTCAATTGCCATTTATTTAGGACTCCATTGTGTCCAGTTTACACTTATGTCCACTTATGTAGGACTCAATTGTCACTTATTTAGGACTCCATTGTCCAGTATTTAACATCTGGTGATGTCTTATTACTTACTCACCCGTCTCGGTTCCCACCTTACAGATTCCAGTATTTCCGATTCCATGGCCGTTATTGATTTGATAGACTCAATCAAACCCGGGTCGATCAACTATGATCACGTCATTAAAAATGCATCTTCTGAGAAAGATGAGCTGACCAACGCTAAATACGCCATCTCCATGGTATGTGTCGTGTTACGTAGGATTTGATTTGTGTTTGTCTCATCTACTTATTCATGCTACTAGTTTAAACTGATCATGTCCTATATGTTCGTATATTAAGGTTTTCAATCCACATTTGTGCTTAATAATTCGTGGTACTTTGATGTAATAGTATAAAGAATAGATACATGCAGTAGGTTATTTTGAAATGCAAATATACGTACTTGCTGTAGGTCCCTCCCCCCTCCCCACTTTCTACATAATGATGACCACCCCCAGCTCACCAAAATTAATTTACTGATACACACTTTACCTATTGAAAACCATCGCTCTCATTTACAGGCTCGCAAGGTTGGTGCTGGGGTATATGCTCTGCCGGAGGATATTGTCGAAGTTAACCAGAAGATGGTTATGACGGTATTCGCGTGCATTATGTATGCAAGCTATGCCGATGACAGGGCCAAGTCAGCCCAGGACTTAAGAGGCGATTGAAGTACCACGTCGCAATATATATGTGCGACATTTCGTTGAACGAAGTGCTTATTTCTGACACCAGTGATACTATTTCTATGATCAATGATATCGTAGAATTATCAATAGGCTGAACGGTGCCCCTTATAAGCTGGTGTGGTATGAAGACCATTAATTGTACAACAGGTTCAATACAATAAATTGATCTCACAGTATAAATCAATTCATTTCCAGCACCAGAAGCACTAGACAAATCGTCCTTCTAGTCCACATGTTCAAGCAACAGTAGATAGTAGCAATATACGCTAGCAAATTAAATACACTTCACACTATAACTTGTTTGTATTGTAATTCCTCATGCTTCACTGTAATCTAGTATTCTTTACATAAGTCTGTACCAAAGAAATAAGATTGAGCTCACGTAGTGGCTGGTATACACAAAGTCGCCCTCCGAATGGCCCCTCAAACTTATTTTCCAAGTGAATAGGTATCTATCTACTGAGATAAGCGTACTTGCTTTGATTTGGTGACCAGTCAGAGCAAAAGTACAGTATGGAACGCAAATTCCTTTTATTCTTGACTACATCAATTTCTCATTCAATCTCGGGAGCTAAACAGAAACTTAAGGACCACAAGCATGTCACGGTACAACAAAGGTTTAATACTTAGTATAGTGGTTAAGTAAAGTGCCTTATCTTGGCAATTTGTTGCATCATGCAGCCTTATCATCGTGCTCTGGAACAAATAATCAATATATACTATATTAAATTATCTATCACAAAGCTCGCGAAATCATGTGCCCTTTTACAGTCCCTTTAAGAGACGTACATAATTGATGGAGAACACAAACAATTCACCTCATTTTAGCTGATGAGAAAACTCCCAAGTGTGAAACTATGGCAACAGAAGTTAAGGTCTCGTTAGCCGATGATAGGAGTCTCACTACTCAAGATGTGATAGTTAAGATGTCACAGAAGTACGACATTATAGTCGGAATGAGCGATTTACTCACTCTAGGTATAACAGTAACTGGTTTACCAAATAACATAGATCCATTAAAGGATCAATCAGACGATAACTGTCTGAATCCATATAAGGCCCCGTCAGACACAGTCAAGACATTAATACCTGACTTTGCGGACAAAATCATGGATCAGATTCTAGTAAATAAGAAGATAAAGATCACAGATTGGGCAAAATTCCGTTTTCACGACGGATATGTCAGCCTTGACTTAACCAAGGTGAACTTTAGACAGTTGAAGTGCCACTCAAGGAACTATGTATCCTGGAGACACGAGGCTGCGGTAAAAGAACAAGTTGAGAAATGGTTAGCAGATGGAGTGATAGAAATTAACTATCAACATACGCCAGTTAACTTGGCATTGTTAGCCGTAGACCAACATAACTCTGACGGATCGTTTAAGAAAGTCAGAGTATGTTTAGATATGAGTCCAATAAACAAATTATTGCCGACTCATAGCTTTCACCTACCTCGTATTAACGAGCTACTGCGAAGGATGGAAGGTGCTACAGTATTTACAACTATAGACCTTACACAAGGATACCATCAAATGCAGATATATGATCCACATTGTAAATACTTTAGTTTTACGTGGAAAGGTAAACAATAAAGGTTTAGAGGGGCACCTTTCAGATTGCACTCTTTACCAACATTCTTCCAACAAGTAATGGATGAAATATTTGCAGACATGACTAACGTGCAAGTCTATATAGATAACATAGTCATCTTTTTTAAGACTAAGGGCGAACATGCCGCATTAGTCAGACGAGTCCTTAAGAGACTCAACGAGCAAAACTTCAAGATTAACGAGAAGAAATGCCACTTTGCCATGAGCGCAATACAGCTCTTAGGCTACCGAATATCTGGGGAAGGTATTAAAATCGACCCCGGTAAGGTGGAAAACCTGTTAGATTGGCGAACACCAACTACAGGAAGAGATGTTAACAGCATGAGTGGGTTTGTAAACTTCTTTTCAGATGGAGTACCACACTTGGCTGATTACCTCAAACCTTTTGGACAACTAAGATGTCACAAAGGTAAACTAGGCGACTTGTGGACAAAAGAGTGGGATGATGCGTTTAAAGCACTCAAACACGCCGTCCAACAAGCACCTGTAGTACAAGGGCCAGTCGATGGCGTGCCGTTTGAAATAGTAACGGAAGCCTCCGACTTAGCCCTAAGAGGAGTATTACATCAGGTAATAGATAACAAACCTAGATATATACAATTCTTTAGTCGAGCGATAAATGCTTCACAGTTGAATTGTCCAACTGTTAAACAAGAGCTATTAGCCATAGTGGCAGCTCTAACACACTTTCGAGAAAACTTATACGGAACAGCATTTACGCTGATGTGTGATCAGAAATCTTTTCAATATATGAAAGAGATAAAAACCGACTCACAATTACTGAGTTGCTGGCATGATACAATATCAAAGTTTCATTTTGATATAAAACATCTGCCAGGAATACATAACCATTTACCGGACTTTAATAAGTCCGTACGTGAGTTACTAGCCACTGACTGAAAGTGTAATCCCAGGTGGTTTGAACTGGCTCAAAAATATGTGGGCCACGTTCCATAGATATGTTTGCTGCACATCATAATGCACAACTATCGAATTACAGGACTTTAAATCATCCTTTGGGAGACGCCTTTCAAATAGACCTCTCCAAACATAATGCGTGGGTTAATCCACCATGGCAGTTAATTGCCCAGCTATTAAATTATGTTCATATACATAAAGCTACCATCACGTTGTGTTGCCCATTACGGAGTAAAGATCCATGGCTCAATAAATTGATAAGCATGATACAATGCGAGCCAATATATTTAGATAGGGAAGTAGATACTTTCCTATATCAGAGTACCCGAGTCGTCCAGAAGACGCCCTGGAGACATACTATGATATGTCGTATAGGTCCCATTGGAACAACCAAATGGACCCCTTCTGAGACCTTCCTTAACAAGGTCAAAGAATCAGAGATTCCACTCTCTACCCAATTGAACGTTAAGCAGTTCAAAGGCAACACAGCATTTAAAGTCTGTGCACAAGAAATACAATCTACTATTGACACTACAATTAAGAAGCGTCAATCTCTAGCCCGGACTTTATTTAATAACATAAATCCAAGCTCGAATTCTTTCAAACCCTATTTTTAAAGTGATTAATGAAAGATAACCCTGAAGCGTATACACATATAATGCGACTATTTAATACATCAGGTGTATCTAACGCACATGAGCGCACTTATGACACTCATGCGAAAGCAGGGCAGGAGTCTGGAAACACTACAGACTTAGAGACCACGCAAGTGGATTCTCAACACCCTACCTTTATTCTAGAGGAGCAGAATGATAAATACATTCTTGCTTGGCTGACGCAAAACCATAAGCTGAAGCACCAGAACATATTCTATGTGCATGTACTTCAGGGTTATCTTTCATTAATCCCTTTAAAAATAGGGTGTGAAAGAATTCGCCTCTGTGATCTTTATCTTCTTATTTACTAGAATCTGATCCATGATTTTGTTAGCAAAGTCAGGTATTAATGTCTTGACTGTGTCTGACGGGGCCTTATATGGATTCAGACAGTTATCGTCTGATTGATCCTTTAATGGATCTATGTTATTTGGTAAACCAGTTACTGTTATACCTAGAGTGAGTATATCGCTCATTCCGACTATAATGTTGTACTTCTGTGACATCTTAACTATCACATCTTGAGTAGTGATACTCCTATCATCGGCTAACGAGACCTTAACATCTGTTGCCATAGTTTCACACTTGGAGGTTTTCTCATCAGCTAAAATGAGGCGAGTTGTTTGTGTTCTCCTTTCGATATCTTTCATTAATGCAAAACGATCGGATATGCATGAAATTTCAGAACCAGGATCAATCAACGCAAGGATTTTATTTCCATTGCAATATACAGGGATTGTTACACGCTCATCTAAAGAGTCGTTGTACTGTCTGTGTAACGATTGTACCCGGTAGTATCGTCAGTACAACTCGATGTCGGGTCTGACGTTACACGATTTAGTGTGGTAGCCATTGGTCTTCTCACATTTATCGCATTTTGTAAGATAGTGTTTACTAGAATAGGCATACTTTCCGTTCCAGTTACCGTTAGGGGTTTACTGGTACATGTCATAACCAATTTTCTCATCAGCACATTTCTTAACTTGCTTGTATGCAGGTTCCTTGTGCTCCTCACGCACCTTCTTAACAGGGCGTGTAAATTGAGTAGATTCACGTGGACGTGTATGTTGGGGTCTCTCGTTTGAGGTCTGCCTGGATACGTACCCTTGATCGGTCTGCTCCCGCGGTTTCGTAACAACCGCCTTTGTCTGCGAGGTTACTCGACTGGAAGAATACAAAGTTGACACAGTTTGATAGTACTTGTCCCATTCAAGGCGGGTCAGATAAAACTTTGTTTCATGACCTAAAATCTCAAGGTGTGTTTGCGTATTTACGTCTAAGTTCAGTATACAAAATTTCTTGGTCATTATTGCTAATTTTCATACAGAACACATACATAGCCAGGAACTCGTACCATCGATGTATCTTTTCCTTCTTAATATTGGGACATTGTAAATCAGCATCGAGTTTTAATATGTAGCTCTGTATGGTAGTGTTTGGTGCTGGCTCCCTGGACTGCGCATGTCCTTACTCAACAAGGATGATACTGACCAACATACTGCTGTCCAGTTTCGACACTAGTCTAGTTCGTGGAGATGTCTCTATAGAGTCAAATAACTTGTACCCTCAGGGTCAAATGACTGCATTAACACAGCTATCCACTGTTGCGGAGCGATATCATTCGTCACCAACATTAACGTGAACGCGTTTAAGGTGCGTATCAGGGTATCGAGATCATGGTTATTTATGAACTCGTCCTTATTGCTGTTGGCGTCCCAGTTCGACTTAAGTCGACTGATCAGCCCCTTGTACTTCTGGATATCGCGGTGGTCTTGCCCACGTTGAGCCTGCAGTGGTTGGTATATCCATCTTTGCTTAATAGCGATTAGATTAACGTAGTGGGTGACGTCGCTAGCGTTGTGTAAGTCATGCGCTGTCTCCATCTGTAGAGTATTATCATTTACGGCCTGATTTAGCGCGGTTACCTCTTCAGATTGGAAATCTTCGGCAGGCTGATGAATAGCGTGCCGATCGACTCGATTAAACTCGATGTCGTTGGC